TCGTTAACAAATGGTCCATTACTGTTGTCCGTGTATGCGAATTCATTAACAATTTTGGATGATTTCATCAGTTGCTTGGTGGATGTTGGCAATACAACAATTGCCATAATTGACGAATTGTTAACTGAAGATCTGGGTCTACCAAAACTAGATTTTATTTTAATTCCAGAAATTGATGGAGGTTTGATTGTACTTTTGTTTCTTTTTTGATGCTATTTTCTTTCTTTTTTTCAGTAAGATACAGTAGTAAACAGAATTGACAATGTTATAGTGGTACAAAATTATGGAACGATAATTTTTGGAGAAAATATTCTATTAAACTCCGATGAAGCAAATATGATGTTTACGGTGGCAAAACAGTTATCACACCTATGGATCAGCGGCTTAAGCAGTATTGCAGCAATGCGAGAATATTGCTTTATGGTTATTTTTTACCGACTTGATATACCATTGATGCTTTTAATTTCATAAATCTGTATTCTTTCAAGTGTGTAGTAATTCAAACGATAAGTTTTAGTTGTTGTTAGGTTTTTTGGTAGTTTCTTTTTTTTTTTTTGGTAGCTACGAACACTTGACTCTCCTTTGTCTGTCCAACAGTTCAATAAGGTCATTTGAAAGCAAATCAAAATAACATAAAATAAGGAATAAAAAGATTACTTTTGCACTTCTTTTTGTTTGTCTTAATTTGAAGCAGTTATTTCTGTATATTTCATCAAAGCTGTTAAACGGTAGAATTGAGTAAAATTTTCAAATTCAATAGACTAATGCTTTGATTTTCACCAATTCAACTCATATATAAAGAAAAAAATGAAGTTTGAGAAAACTATAACAACATTATGAACATCTGCTTTTTATAAAAGTAGCACAAAACTTTTGTTAGGGAAGACACCTGTTATATAAATTTAATGATCTTTTACTAACTTTTAGCGTTATTTGTTTGAAACTTCGGCAGTTTTAGGAGGATTTGTCCGGCTATATTGCAATGAAAGCGCTACGACAGATGACGCAAAACGATGAGCGATACGCAACGTTCCGAATGGCTCATTATGTAAAGATTCAACTGGCTGAGAACTATATCTCGTCTAGTGAATCTCTTACACTACCGTCACAAATTGAGCCCGAAGTGGTACGAAGGCTTCTTTGTCTGGTTGCTATTCAACTTTTGGAGCTTCTTTGATAATACGCTGACTTTTACTGTAGATGAAATGGCGTTGCAATTTGAAAGGAATCCTAATGGTAGAATCTATTGAATCCATCATTGGGGAAGAGGCTATGTTAGGTCATATCCGAACCATCCTAAGATCACAACGTTTTGCCACATTTTCACTCGACGACTTCTTGTCTCTTTTGAGAGGTTACATTGTTGACGGAGGAATAAATCTTGCTCAGGTAAGAAAATGTAGTTAAATAATCTTAATTGTTTCATACTGTTTGCTCTTCCCTTTGACGCCGCAAGTTTTCTTTTGATTGACACTGCTACCGATCTTTTAAGACATACGACTTTTGGCAGAAAAATGGCGGCTTTCCAGCAGTGTCGGCCACATTGACTAACGATACAATGCGACTGATACAGTTAAACCGCGGTAGACTGGCCAAACTTGGCAGTTTTACCTGGGTACAGATGCCTGTCTGGCCTTTACGTTTAACACTAAGTTCTGCACCATCTCCACTTTACTTTATGACCACGGAAGGGCTAGACCTCGCTCCAATGCCCCGACAAACTGTTTCAATGATCAACCTTGGTACCGTTTTGAATTTGTCTAGTTTTCTCAACTCATTTAAGTTTAATTCTTTATTAAGTGCGAAAAAAGAGAGTTGAAGACTTGGGCACTGGAGATTTTTTGTTGTGGCGTACTCTTCTCTCTGGGTTACTGAAAATTTGTATATCATCTTCATTTCATAAAATTATCGGTGGTAGTTCAGTGGATACAAAGATTAAATTAAGTAACTGTTAATTTGCTAAGTTTACATACTCTCGTTATAAGACCAATTTTAGTACCTTATTAATTTTTTATTAAAGTAATCACAACACATCGTTGCCAATTTTGTTCGCCATTTGCCGCTATGTTGAACCTTTCAAAATGTTGTTTACATAAGTAAACAAAAAATAACAGATAAAAAAAGGTTTACCAACAAGTTTTTCTTGTAGTATGAAGTGTTTTGAAGGAAACACCTGACTTCAGTCTAAGTGTTGAGTACAAGTGTTAAAATGCGGGAGATAAAACCACCTTATAAGTATGTATTGAAACATCTAGAAGTTTTTTCGCTGTTTTTTTTTTTTTTTTTAAACATTGTTCTGCAAAAATACTTTTTTGAAATTTATTTTGCTAAGCAATAGAGGGTAGCATTTGAGAAATATAACTTTCTGTTTCTCTTTTCAGTCATTTTTTATTCACTGCGCATTTAGCTGTTAAGCGAATTTGGATAAACAGCAGTTTTGCAGTGTGTTGGAAGATCATTGGTATCAACACTGAGAGGGATTTTTTTCTAAGTAAACAAGAAGATCGTTTATCTTCTTGAACTTTCTTTTTTGTTTAATCGAGGTTTCTTAATTACACTTTAGTTGTAAAGCCACGTTACCGTTATGCTTCGATGATAATATAAAATTAGTGATTGTCAAAGTTCCTCTATGTGTATTGTAATATTTGTTACAGGTTTTAAACATTTCTATCGTGTTGACTATGATATGAATGTTTGGGCTCAAATTCAAGACTTAATGAGAAGTAACCCAGATTATTTCTCACAGCAAGCGAGAATGCAACTGATTAGTGATTTCTGCTATTTCCATTCTCAGGGTACAGCATTTTGCTCAATATCAGGACTTTTTACTTTTCCGGAATTTTTTTTGCAAAAGTTTGCGTAAGTGCAATGAACATCTTGAAAATTTGTTAGATGGAATTGAGGAACAAAAAAAGAAGTTTCAATTTATGTTTTAGGTATGCATGATGAGGGAGATGATGCTGAAAGACTTCGAGAGGGCTGGGTAACTTTAATTAGAGACCAACCGACTAAATTTGATCTATGTGAATGGTTTGTTTTATGAATAATTACAAACTAAGTGAGAAGAAAGAAAAGTTTTGATTTAGTATTTCAAGGTAATAGAAGTAACGCTAAGTAAGATTGAAATAACTAGGCAGAAAGTTGAGGAACTTCTATACAGCTTTACTCCTAAGTCTTTTGTTATACTGTTGTTGAAAACATTGTTTTTCAATGGTATTTTTAGTGCAACAGTAGGATTGAGCTGATTAATTTACTAGCTTTTTTTAAAGGTATATATACGGTTGTGAAGCCGGTAATCATAGGACACCAGCAGCAATGAGAGATATAAAAGATAGGCTATGGAGGATGGAAGCTGAAATTCGGGAAGCGTTTCAGGATAGCCAAAAGTATGCGTGTGGGATTGGCTCGGCGGGTACGGTGGCCAATAAAATTTGCGATATTGTCTACGGTACCGACTGTCTGTGACAGCACTGTGTAATCATTGTTGTATATGGCTTCTGGGTTTCTATTTATAGAAACATTTGGGTGCCTTTATTGTTTTAAGTGGTTGTTATGTTTTGTTTCAATTTTTTTGCTTTGCTTAAAGCTGACATTCGACTATGATCAAAAGATAAATCTGCTAAATTTTTCACGGTCAGCAAAAGATATTATTTTTGTTCACTGATTCAAGCTTAGGCAATCAAAACTAAGATGAACAGCCAAATGAAAAAAGCAGTAGAAAGAAAACAAGTATTTATCTATATATTTATGTATACATGCATTTTTTATCATTTGTTTTCTTGTATTTAGTAACAATACCTATTTCATTGGTCATTGTTGTGAAAAAATAATTGCTTAAAGATTTGTTAAGTTTTATGCTACGGTTTTAGAGTTCAAAAAAGAAGAAGCAGATAAGCAATAATGGTTTTGTAGCTGCTGTTTAACATTCGACTGTCACCAGAAACTAAAGTCGTTAAGTTTTGTCACGGTCGGTACAATGGTTCTAGTTTTTGGTAATAGTCTATTAGTCTATTACCAAAAACTAGAACCATTGTACCGACCGTGACAA